GGCATCTCAGACTAATTCAGAGGAACTTCTCTGAATTAATTAGTCTCTAAGGCTGTAAATAAACATCACCAAATGAAGCAAATCATCTGTGCTGGGATGTGTCCTGGGATGCCTTCTGGAACAGCTGATTTGTTTCTTTGAGCAAAACAGATGTCCTCTTGGGCTGGTGCCTCTGCCAGTCCCACAAGTGGGACAACACTTGGGGAGCACCTATGCAAATGGGGGAACCCTGGGTTTCCCTATTTGCAGAGGTATGTCCAGGGAATCTGATTCAGTCCCCTCAAGTTCTGGGAGTGCCTGCCCAGGTTTCTTCCTTTCCCAAGGCATGCGCTGATTCTGACTCAGGGCATGCTTCTGCAAATGGGAAGACCGTTTTCGTGCTTGCAAAGGCTCACATAGGGATCCCTGAGGTTTCCCCATTTGCAGAACCACACCTGAGCTGGAATTAGGGCCAGCCTTGGGAAACAGGGAGACATAGGCAGAGGAATTCCTGGGGTTAGCAGGACCGGACCCCCGAAGCTGCCGGAGCGCCTATCCAAAGAGACTGGAGAGTACTGGAAGCTCTGGGTTGCTTGTGCTCTCCTACCCTGAAACAAACAGGCATCCGCCACAAAATAACAGTGCAAATTGATGCTACCTTTTGTCACTGCCACTAATTTGGGCATTTGTGGCATGGCAAAGAGCACGCAAATCTGTTTGCTTTTGCTTTATGCTCCGGTACACATTTGTATGGCGGCACATAGGCAGTATCTGTTTGCAATGTAAAGTGCCACTCTGTCCTGCCTTCTTCCTGATGTTAGACAAACAAGGCTAACTACCTTTCTCTTTTCAAAAGTAAAATCAGGCTACAAGGGCACCTATTGCTTCTTAAGATTTTCAGCTGAAAAACATCTGGAGATAGGTACATAGAACTGTTCAGCTCCTTCTCAAAAAGTGACAGCCATTCTACTAAAGCCAATAGTTCGTAGGAATCACCTGCTTTTAAATTCCTGATTTAAAAGGACTTGAATCTAGGTCTGCTATCTTTCAGGAGTGTGCTAGCAAGCAAACTATCAGTTATTTTAGGATAGCTAGCTGGAGCTGTTTTGCTTTGTATAATTAATTATTCATTGTAGCCGATACTTGAACCCTACTCTGCCATATCTTAGGTAAGTGCCCTAGCTGTTAGGCTGGAAAGTCATGCTCTGTCCTCTCTTTCAATGAAAATTATTTTTACTTAGGAGAGATTAGGGAAAACTCAGCCTACTGCAGATTAGGTAATAGTTATTGGCTCCAGCATTCTCCCAGCATGTTCAAGTTCTTCCTCTATATGAGGGAGAACGTCTCTCACCTTGGCTGTGAGTGCCTTAACCATCAGACCACTGGATATGGTGAGACACCCAGGCAGAGAATTCTTGTCCCCAGTTGTGTGAGCCCTGATCTGGTAGATATGCTTTGAGAATGCATGTCCTGATCCAATAAGCATGTGAGAGAGGCAGGGGAATACACAGTTTGCTGAGGTTTAGGTGTAAACCAGAACTGATTTGCTCAGCACTGTCAAGAGAAATAGTGTTGTAGGTGCCTATGAGCAGAAAACAGCAACTGCAAAGTTAGGCACCAGCTAAGGAGGAGTTTCAGGATCTCAATGGCAGCTAAGACTAGACTCAGGAGTCTACTGTAGCTGTTAAATACCTATATGTCCCTTTATGGAATTAGTGCTGAATGACTGACTATAGGGGGGAGAAACAGTGAAACTGGCTATATACACAGCACTATCAAATTAGAAAATAAGAACAGATATCCTTTCTACTCATGGAAAATGTTAACCTCATGCACAGGACCCAATACCTGCCATTTGCTCTGTGTGGGGAGACTTCAATTAACCTCTGAGTCTCTGGTGTGATGCATGAGATAAGCCTCTGCACTCCTCTAGAGCTCCATCACCTTCAGAGAGTTTCAGGAGGATAAGGGGGTCTACTTTCACATAACAGACTGTAGGATAAGAATCTAAATTAAAATAATTCCTTTGTGGCTCATAGAATGAACAGGGATTGGTTAATGCCACTTAAGATTCTGGGTGCGTTATTGAAAACAATGCCAGTGTATCAGTGAATGTTTAAATCAAGCATTTATTTTCCTTGAAAGAAGAAAAAATGAATGCAAATATTATAATAATATATGGTATCAAATATCCTTATTTCCCCTAATACTATGTTTGGGGAATATACTACCAACAGCTTTCCTTAAATTGTAGAACTACTGCAGAGGTGCGGAGGGGGAGACTTCCATCTTACATTATTGGTGAGAGGATGATCACCTGCAGGCATTCAAAGTGTATAAATAGAAGCATCTGGGGAAGATGCACAGGCACATAATCTTTTAACTTTATTGAGATTCAGTTGGTTAAGAGAGTGTTATGGAGGAACAAAGCAGAAGAATGGTAAATATTTTATTTTAAAAAAAAGACAGAAACTGTACTCCTTAATAGAGTTGTTTAGCATGTCTGGGAAAACAGGTTGCATACAAACTCACTGTGGGATTTATTTGTGTGTGCAAAGCCTGCTAGGGTTTAATCCTTTGAGACAGATGGCTTCAACTTCAGGGAGAGTTGTGTGGAAAAATTTTGCATGTAAATTTGAGAGCTACTGAAGCTCAAATAGGTATGAGAGAGAGACATTTTGTATGCTGGCTCAACTAGCACTTCTTGGGTATCCTCTCTCAACCTGTGTCTTGTGGTGAAGGAAAAAACCATGCATGGAGGGTATGGTGATAACTGTACTGCCATCCTGCTACCTATAAGCATTGGCTATTGCTTGCTTGAGTGAAACAATCTATTAGGTAACATGTAGCAACAAAACACTTTCTACCTCTGAGACCTTGAAGGCTGTGGGTCTGTAAATACCATGCGGACAACCTCTGTAACCTTGATGGAACTACTCAAAAATGAGCACAACTCAGTTTACAAGTATTTGCAGGACCAGGTCTTAGGTTTGTAATCTGATGCAGTAGGTGGGTAAAGCAGGTGGGGTGGGCTGAGGAGGGTGGAAGAGCTGTGATAGTCAAATGACTATGATTTGCACACTGAAACTCTTGTTCATCACCTACGGTCACAGACTGATAACCTGTAGCTATAGCAGCAAGGTGGAGCTTCAGGGGAGGATAAGCCACTGGCTTTCTGAATGCTGATGGGATTATGGGGTGATCAAGGCTGACAACCCTAGGGAAACCAGGGGTGAGTGACGTAGGGATAACTGATCTGAGGAGGGTGGGGGTGCCTTCAGGAACACAAGGGTTAAGTACAGACAGTCAAAAGCCTGAGGCTGAATGAATAGATTGACTCTTCACAGGTCAGGCTAAACTGTAGATTGAACCAATAAGCAAGTGAACTGATGTTGACTTCTGATTCTGGAAATGCAGCCACATGCCTGCTATGGCCCAAGCCGGAAGCTAAGGGTGGGCACTAGAGCACGTCTCCCTGCTCTACTGGAGCAGACAGCTTGGGCCAAGGCTAGCCTGCCCACCCTGTGGAGGAAGTACGAAGCATCCTGGGATGCTGCGGGACTGTAAGTTGACTTGAATCTGGAGGGGATCTAGGACTGAATTTCAGTAAACCAATTTAACCTAAATTGGCGAAGCCTGATACTACAGCCATCCAGGTCAATCTTAAGCTGTGTTTTTGGCCATTTTGACAGCGGGTTTACATATGCACAGGGGGTGTGTAGGTTGTAGCCATGTTGGTCTAAGGACATAGGCAGACAAGGTTCTTTGGGTAAATCTGATATCTTTTATTAGACCAACTCACAAAGTTGGAAAAATTCTTAACAAGCTTTTAGGGATAAATACACTATTAGGCTGAGGAAGCATCTGCAGTGGGTGCATGCTGCTCCTGGAAGGACATGAGCACTGAACTTCTGTGGCATTGCAGCTTTGAACAAGTTTCCAGTTGCTTGCACCAACCAGTTTACTTTACGCATCACTTTTCTCCCTGGCCAAGAAGCCTGCGGCATGCAGACTATTTGTGTCCATATCGAGGCCTGATGCGGGTTCAGGGAAGCAGCTGCAGTGGGGTGACAAAGGTGGGTACCTGGGGTGAAGTTTGGGCTGCCCTGAGATGCAGCCAAGGGAGATCAGAGTCACAGTTGGCTTTTGAAGCAGACGGGAAGAGGGCAGCCTGGTGCATGGAGCCCAGCACCTTGAGCAGCAGGAGGGGCCTGGGGGAAGGGAGCGTGTGTGTGTTACGTGCATGTCAGCAAGGCCCAGAGGGTGCCTAGGGAGCTGCCAACGCACCTCGTAGACCAGATGCCCGGCAGGGTCGGGGTGGTGCGGGGACAGCCGCCCTCCCCCGGGTGCCGGGTGGGTACGTGGTGACCTGGGCCCCGTGCGTCAGGGGTGACAGCGGCGGGCGTTGCCGGGCTCCGGCCGCAGGTCACACTCAGGCCGTGCGGGGCAGGCTGTGGACACGTCCTCTGACAGCGATCGAGCCTCCAGGCCCGGCCGCTTCCTCCATTAAGAGCCTGCGCCACAGCGCCGCACAGCTCACAAGATGGCGGCGAGCCCCAGCGGGGCCACCCACGTGACCTAGGTTCCGACTCCTTCTAGAGACATCGCCGCGCGGGCCGAGGGCCGGGAAGTCTCGCGAGGTCTTCAAAGAGAAAAGCCGGGGGGTGGGGGGCGAGGTAGCGATCTCGCGTGACGTCCAGCCGGCCTTTCTTCTAGAGACCGAGGCGAAGGAAATCTCGCGGGATCTTGCAGAGACTTCCCCTCACATCCCCTCCACTATCAGAGACTCCGCTCCCTTCTCTCGGCCTTCTACTGAGGGTCTTCTAGGCAAAGGCCGGCGCAGATATCGCGAGAAGCCAGCCTTTCCTCCCATTGCCTGGCGCGGAGCGGCCGGTTCTTCTCGCGAGAATCCAGCCGTCGGGCGCTCAGTCTCGCGCACGCGCTCGGAAGGGGCGGAGCTTACGTGCTGAGGTCAGCGCGCCGGCGGGGGCGGCAGTATATAAAGGCCGGGGCCGAGGTGGGGGGGTTTCAGTTAGAGACGCGAGCGGAGCGCGGCGGCAGCAGCGGCGGCGGCAGCGGCGAGTTCGAAATCTGGGCCGAGTAACTCTCTTTACGCGGAGCCAGACCTCCCGAGACGAGCCCTCGTTATGAGTCATGTGGCGGTGGAAAATGCCCTCAGTCTAGACCAGCAGGTGAGGGTCGGGTCGGGCCGGCCTGGGCGGGGAGAGGCTGGAGGGCGCGACCCCCCTCCTGCGGGGGAGGGGCCGTTTTGTTGCGCATTTAATCGTTGCGCAGTTGCGGCGGGGGGAGGGGGATGGCGGGAGGCCGGGGCCTGTTTCCCCGGCGCCGGGCCCGGCTTTTGTACGGCGTCCGAGTCCCCCTGGCGGCGGCGGTGGGGAGCGGCAGGGGGGAGGGGACAATGGCGGCCATTGTGTGTGTGTGTGTGACGGAGGG